ACTCCCGGCCTACATGCAGAAGGGAGCTACATGCCCTTGCATAGTCATAGACTCAATTTGATAGTAAACATATAGACTTCCTGCCGTAGCTTTCGTAGCAGTGGCCTTGCTCGGACCACGGTAGAAAACTCTCGCTCTCTGGCCTCTTTCATATTGACCAGTTGTTCCCTTGTCACATGACCAGATTGTTGGGCGCGAGCTTTATATTCTGACTTCTGATCGACGTGGATCGCCACAACTTCGACATTTTTTTGCTCCTTTGCAATTCGTAGTTGACAGTGCCATCGATTTGTCTTCACGGCTTTCCGTGGCTCAGGATCAAATTTGAACAATGTTGAATCTCTTGGAGCGGCGACATGGTTGAATTTTGTGACTGGTCTTAATTGTTGTCCATATGCCGGGCTAGTCTAGCAGATGGAAGCCTGCCCGGGGTGCAGATGCACGAGGAAAATGAACTAAACTATTTTGGAGTGCCGCACCTAAGCGGCACGTCCCGTGGGGCCGCACTTGGGCTGGGCCCCATATAGCTACCCGGACGATCTCATCGCTGACCACATAGGCTGTGTATGAAGCAGGGTTTCCTAGCATATCAACATCAACATCAACCGCACAGCGACAATTGTAAGTTTGGCAAGTGCAGACTCCAAACTTACACAGGCCTCTAGAAAGTCATAAAGTATCTAATCCGCTCAATCTAGAGGCAAGGCTAGTTATCTTCGATGAACCACGCTCATCTTGGTGGGTACTTTGTGAAATTGCAATAAAATAATATGTAAACTAATCTTCACTGGGGGACTATTCTCAACACCTGACAGTGGTAATCTCTACGAACCTCCAGCTCTCATCGTAGAGTAACAAAGTCCTCACTTCGATGAGGATTCCCGTCGCTTTCTCTGTCTGTATCGTCTTCATCCCCAAGCAAATCCCATATGACCACTATCATGAAGCTAGCCACGATCAGATCAGTTGGTAGGGTCGAAGCCCTTCTCATAATCAACCCTTGATCATGGATTAAAGCCATCCGATGAGTTTCCGGAGCGTACCCAGCACCCGATACGAAGATGGTGGATTGGATCAAGTCGGCCTCGACTGTTACAAAGAAGGGAGATATAGATGAATATGCGCACCTCATGTGGTCCCGGTGTCTAGGCCTCGCCTGGCTGGGGCTGCGGGCTTTTTGAGACTTTTTCCCGCGCGCGCAGCCTCCATTGCTAACTTTTTATTTGTTTTGAATCGGATTCTACAGAAAAAGAGGCTTAATACTACGAGTTGTTGCCAGGCCAAATAGATGCCTCTAATAGTAATAATTTTGGAGATCATTTTTTCGTCAAAAAGAAAATATAACTTTACAAGTTGTAGCGTAGGTGAAAGAGTAGCCTATTGTGCGAGATAGTCAACCACTCAATAGCACAATACAAACCACAGCTCAAACTACAACATTTTGTGTACACAATCGAATCAGTAGAAGTAATCTTGATAACTATACCTGGAGATTTACATCCAAACGTAACGTGGAGTATTATTATTGTTGTTGTTATACCATAAAATTGTCCTTTTTCAGTCCAAGGCTATATAGGACATGCAGGTAGCATAGAATATTGGTGTTTACCATATACTCATCTGCAAACAACGCAGGCTCCTGATCCGTAGGTCAAAGTGAGAAGTGCAGCGACTACTTGAGTAATGTCTGTAGTATTGACGAATCACCACATAGAAGGGCATGAAACAGAAATAGAATTTACAGCTACAAAATTTAATTACACTAACGTATCAGGTAAGCCAATTTCTTTCATGTTTACATACCCCATCTTTTACTGTGCCAAGAGGTTTAAAATCTAGTTGATCTAGTCTAATTAAAAAACGGCTTATTCAAGTCTTAAGCTCTGCTCGATAGCTTGTTGTAACATTGAATAGAATCACCGAGACATTACATCATGAGAAATCTAATGATGTGCTACTGCTTAAGTTTCGTCGCATTTTAAAGGTATTTTCCGCGCCGATAACCATAAGGAGTTAGGTTCTACACATATCTAAAACAACTGAACGACGGAAGGAAATGACAAGCCTAGTCCGGCCTTAACCCAGATGCAATGGACATGTATGATTTGTTTGTCTACTTACTGACGCGCCGGGGAAATATTAGCAAAAGCACTTTAGGTGAAGTCCAGGCACGAGTGAGGTTAAACTGAAGGCCAACTATTTTGAGTGTTTGAGCGTAGTTCAACACACTTATTTGACTAAAACCTTGCCGAATCGTTGTTGCATTTTGGGTCACGCCGAATCCAGCAGCCCAGATTTTACAACAAAAGGCATCACTAAGAAGCTCCGCTTTAAAACTTAGAAATCGTGGCATTATACCTTGACCATCAAGCGCTCGAGCCTTGAGCTGCTCTTATAATTCATTGCTATATCACAACCCATGACTAACCTTTCAAATCCTGCCTATCAAGATAAATCCTGCTATTTACAGACTTGTACCTGCTCATATACGGCTCTTTCGAATATATTCTTTAATTGTCTGCCTACTGCATGCTTTTTACTTTCCGGTCTTTATATGATCATGGCCTTTTGGTACTAAGCTAGTTAGTCCACTATCTCTTACGTGCAAAGGTCACAATTAAATATAATTGATACGTGGCTAAAACGTCGGCGGTTTGCCGCGAGATCTCCGTATTCGGTTCGAGCCGCAATAAAACTAGCTTTTGGTACTCTCGACAGCACTAGCTCAAGTGATATATTGCGCCAATTGCAGTGATCGAGGTCATGATACATTTTTGGGCTCGCGGGTTACGTTGAGACAGGTATTTGTTCGTAAATTAACATGTTCGGCGGTTGGCATAACCCGCACTCATGCAAGAGATCAAGCACAAGTGTTACCAGACTGAATCAGATTAACTGCCATTCAGTACAACTGTCGGATCTCACCTAGTTGACTGACAGACTTGTATTCCACCCATGTCTTGAATCATGCCAAGTCCGGCTATCTAGAGAGCCCTTTCTACGCAGCGAAGCGCAGATTTCTCGTCAGACCCAGCAGCTTCGATCCACTGCCCTTGGTAATTAAGACATGTGAGCCCTCTATGGTTAATTTATTTCATATTCAATTTGAGATTCAGCTGGACCAATTTTTCTGCTCAAAGATTCTGTTAGTAGTATTCAGAGATTCCCGCACGTAAACCCTGAACAAGCTGATCGTAGGAATTTACCTAGTTCAAACACTACATAGGACTAATCAACTGGATCACCGTTCAGTTTTGAAATAAAGTATCGACCTTCAACAAGTAAAGTAGCTTTTAGATATTTCTGGCTTTTCGATAATATCTTAAACTATGAATCTATTCAGAGCTGCCTGATGTGCTTTATTGGAAGAAAGATAGGTAATATCTATTAGTCCATAAACCACATAACTGCCAGTGAATTTGATAAACAAGCTTGCTTTACAAGCCAGGCTTGTATTACAAGATGAAATATCCGTGTAGTAAGCTGGTTAACGACTCTCCAAGTATCTCGTAACAGATTCAGGTGGAGCTAGTTGTTTTAAATACTGGCTATAGAGACTATTAATGGTTACTTGACTGTCGAAGAGCATGGAGTCTCATTTGCTGAACGTCAGGCTGGCCACGAATGCTTGTGAGGATCTTAGACAAGGTTCTGATGTCGTTTTTTTGTTTACACAATGGTTGAAATTTGACAAATAATTTGATCGTCTGAATTGTACGGGAGATTCGTTAGACATCAAAAGTTACTTTGTGAAATAACTTAGAGCGAAATTACCGTATTGATTCATCCATGTTTCGATAAGTACAGCCAGATGCAGCCGCAAGAATAAATGGTCATATCAGCGGCTGACGCCACAGATCAACAGAAAAGTGAGAAAAGGTCTTGGTAGATCATGGCCTCAATAAAGTAGATAGGGTGGCCCGTGCCTATCCGACCCGGTCAAAGGTTCCAAATACTGTCCCCTGTCTGCATGATCCTGGCTCCACACCTTGGGAAGATTTTAGTCCAGTCATGTGATAGATGAAGTTCTCCCGTACGAATTAACTTGTCCCAGACCCGCCTCCCCTTTCGATACAAGAGCAAATATTTCTCTTGCGAACTACCGGTACCTAACGTTCCCAACGATTGGGCGCCCCTCGATACAGCGTTTCAAGAAACCCTCTGCAACAATCTTCCTCGCGGCACGCTCATTTCTTGCTTAGATACACACAAAATCATCCCTCACCACCACTCAATATTTCCCACTTACAAAGGTATCTATTTATCCGGTTTGACAGCTGAAATAACCCCTGCCGGCTTCCTTGACCAGCCCCTTTTCGCCGCAACACAGTCGACGTGAGAGCGTCGGCGCCTTTGTTCACTCTTTCCTTTACATCAGCTTTAGACTGACTCTATTGTACTGAAAATAGACAAACTACCAACACCTCCAAAAAATCTACCTACTACCATCTAATCGCAATCGCGTTTGACAGGATCTGCTTATCGAGGAATCCTCATCGTGAAGTGTGCCGGCACAGTGGTTCTGAAAGCGACGCCAGACGAGAGATCCCACCCCTAAATCGGATTTTTCAATTGGCTCTGACCACTCACCGCACAAGATAAGCTAGGTTTGCGGCTAATCAACTCGGTCACTTCGCGCCTTCTTCAACCACCACTTCTTAATATCTCCTCACCATACCTCTTTCTATTCAACAACATGGGTAAGCACTGTTTTATTTACTTGCAATCCGACCATATTTCACAATCTTTTTTGCATTTGACGGTTTGTGGGTGACCCAAAATTTATAAGAAATACTGGGATATCTTATTTCGTGGTAAATTGATAAATCCACAAAACTGTTATTCGGAAACATGCATTGTGGTGGTCACACTGAGCATATCCCTAAGTTCCCATACACCCAGCCTAGCGAAAACTGTAGCATTAGTACTACACACCTTACCTAACCCCGTAAATTTCCGAATCTTTAACACCAAATCAACATTTCTCATCGCCAAGCAACATGATGTCTGTCGAAAAACTCATTTTCCCTGAAAACAACAGAAATCTTGAAGAAAACCGAGACCAAGCCAAAATCGTTTCTGTATATGAGCCAAAAGATATGACAAAAAGAGGCAATGAGCCAGGTCCATGTTTTCCTCCAGCAGTCGCTCGGAAATCTATATGCGAAACAGGACCCGGAGAATTTTCTGAAATTTCGTCTAATCATGAGAATGAAGAATTAGCTAACATTAAATACCTCCCTATAGCTACGAATGTTACTACAACGATTAACTCGCGTCTTTCACCTTCACCGATACAAAATAATAAAACTGAAACCCCGGAAACGCAGCAATCTGCCAGCTCTGGTGATCTTAAAGCTTCAGCTCAACAAGCAAACGACCTTAGAAATATCGTTAGAAGAAAGTTAACAGGGTATGTGGGGTTTGCAAATCTACCTAACCAGTGGCACCGCAAAAGCGTACGAAAAGGATTTCATTTCAATGTTATGGTCGTCGGTAAGTCAATATTTTTACACAGACTCCCTTATCTCACGCAAGACAGGTGAATGCGGGCTGGGTAAATCGACATTAGTGAATACATTATTCAACACCTCCCTATATCCCCCACGAGAACGTAAAGGTCCCAGCCTCGACATAATTCCAAAAACGGTTTCTATACAGTCAATAAGTGCTGATATAGAAGAGAATGGAGTCCGTTTACGGTTGACTGTGGTTGACACACCTGGCTTTGGTGACTTTGTTAATAATGATGAATCGTGGAGACCAATCATTGATAATATTGAACAGCGTTTTGACGCGTACTTGGACGCTGAGAATAAAGTAAATCGAATGAATATTGTCGATAATCGTGTTCACGCATGCGTTTACTTCATACAACCAACAGGCCACGCCTTGAAGCCTCTTGACATCGAGGTTATGCGGAGATTGCATACCAAGGTCAATTTGATCCCAGTCATAGCCAAAGCTGATACCCTCACTGATGAAGAAATCGGGGCATTTAAATCCAGAGTAAGAACCTAAAATAATGTGATGATCTCCCTAATTAAAATATCCTAGATTTTAGCAGATATTAAACATCACGATATCCAGATTTTTGAGGGTCCACGATATGAGTTAGATGATGAGGAGACTATTGCGGAAAACAATGAAATTATGTCGAAAGTGCCTTTTGCTGTTGTAGGGGCAAACTCAGAAATAGACAGCCCTGACGGACGCAAGGTTCGCGGGCGAAGTTACCCTTGGGGTGTCATTGAAGTAGATAATGAAGAACATTGTGACTTCGTAAAATTACGACAAATGCTAATTCGCACGCACATGGAGGAGCTAAAAGAGCATACAAACAACGCCCTCTACGAAAACTATCGTTCTGAAAAGCTTACCGGAATGGGAGTTGCTCAAGATCCAAGTGTGTTCAAGGAAGTTAATCCAGCTGTAAAGCAAGAAGAAGAGCGCACTTTGCACGAGCAAAAACTATCCAAGATGGAAAGCGAAATGAAGATGGTATTCCAACAAAAAGTTGCAGAAAAAGAAAGCAAATTGAAACAGAGCGAGGAGGAATTGTATGCACGTCATCGTGAGATGAAAGAACAATTGGAGCGTCAACGAATTGAACTAGAAGAGAAGAAATCTAGAATCGAAAGTGGCCGACCTTTAGAGGAGAAAGGGAAAAGGAAAGGATTCTCTCTCCGCTGAGCTGACCGGATCATTACTTAATAAAATGGATATTCGTTAATGATTCCTACCTTGTAACATCCGACCACAAATACGGGATCTCAAGTACGACGAGGGTCTGTATCACGGCCACAGTTGTCAATTCTATTTTTGTCTCGATTTGTGGATGAAAATAACTTTTCGGCGGCATATACGAAAGCGAAATCTGTAGGGAGCTAGGGGCTGACTTTACTTTCCTTTAACAAAAAGAAGGAAATTGATGCAACACCTTTTCTAGGTCGAGGATAATGACTCTATCAGCTGCACGCAGCGCCTAAATTTCCATTTCTTGCTACCTTTGCATTGGAGCTCTTCCCCCTCACTTTCATTTTTCCTTTGGCTAAATCCCGTACGAACAGACACCAGTACTATCAGACAGACACCCCTATGAGTCCTCAGTTCAATTATTGTGTATTTATTTAAGGCAGCCTTGGATTTAGCTTTCTCTTCTTTTGTATGATGAATGTTGAGAAATGGCAAATCATCCTTCTGGACTTTGTTTTAATGCATGGTGTTTTTGTCTAACATTAAAGTAGTTTATGTCGGTCTATGCAGTTTAGAAATGCCGTGGCCAATCTGTGTTTAACAATAGGTTATAGAACAGTTGTAACTTATGGTGAGCACGCACCTGTACGTAATGGAGAACTTGTATGCGTCATGAACCGGCCCCAGTGACGAGAAATAATTTTCCCATGAAGCATGCGGGTACAGCTACGTTTGAGGGCATAGACTAATAAGCTCTCCTTAACTAAGACAACCGATGATTCTTTAACCGCTAAATAAACGGTAAAAAATGTTGCAATTTATAATACCCCGGTAAATATTAAGAATCTGGATATTAATCAGATGATATAGCCAGATGGTTGGTCAACATTAGGTACAGATGTGATGCGGTGAAAAAAATATTAGGAAATTCTGCTTGTAGTATGAAGCAGGTGTTACTTTTTTTCGTGATGCCCATAACTACTTACTACTTCATCAACTATTCGATAGCTAGCGGCGCGTATGCCTTATCACTACACGACCCAAATCTCAACGAGACGTCTGCCTTACACATATAAGCAACTCTAACTATGGAGGCGCTAGGATAAGAATCACTCACGTTACAAAGTATCAGACGTGTGCATAGCTGCCAGTTTAGCCAACATCATCGGGCTCGATCGGGGCGTGTGGAGTTGTTGAACGAGAATAGGATCTTGTGACACAGGGAGTATACATGAACGGTCGCTACAGTTGATTCAGTCGCTCAAGGAACTATTTCCACCCTGTTTTCTACATGAGTCGCAACTAAATAAAATTTTCAAATGCGGATAAAGATTTTGATGATTTCGACCGCCGGGGCGTATGATATTTTGTTACTGTAGTAACACGAAAGGGTACCCAGTAGCTGTAACACAAGCCTAACTCTTCTTCGTTTAGAGCCACGATTTTCCGGGAAGTAACCTTGCACACAGCGACTTTCAACTAGTACCTTTTGTAGCTTAGCATGATGTTACCCCCTAAGGAAATTGGTTTCACCGCAAATCAGTAAATCCAGGTACTGTGATTAGTTTCCATTTCATTGGGAGTGACTAAGTTACCGGGGTAGCTATGAGGACGAGACAGGTAGAGCTAGCTGGGACCTGCTTCACTGGACGCTAAAAGCAGCAGGAGCCTCACAAGAGTATTTTTGAACCAATGCTATGCCATCGCTGAGTGTAAGTTATCAATTGTAAACGGGTGGGTTTATCATGGTGACACCCGGACAGTAGGCGGAAAATTCAATTGCTTCTTCGGCTCTGGAAAAGACTCGTTGCACACCAGACTGGAACTGCCTTTCCCGTTCCACATCAATTAGTCTAGAAAGGCGTTGCGCAAATTGTAGACCGCATGCATGTCAATTTAGTGGTCGAAGATAGCTAGTGAGAAATTTACTGCCGAATGAAGCTACTTCACTATTACGTTTAAACGTGTTGTTCGCTACAATCCAAATTAAACTCACTTGGGCTGGATGGTGCAGTGGTACACCGTCCAGGCCATTGTGCCAAGCAGATTCAAGGTAGCCTGAACACTTATCCCAGGTGAGACAGGAGAGAACTGGTTCGAGGCCAGCAGGACCCACCCACCACATTCTCCCGCCGTAACATCGCAATTATAGAGAGACAAATGCTTACCCGTACGACCGTGGGGCTCTACGCTTGTGATGGATATGTATGGAAGTGGTCACACGCCGTAAAGCTAGACCTCGAGTGGCTCCTCCAAACGACATCTTAATGTGAGTGTTCTCAACGTCGGATTGAGAACATCCTCCATCAAATCACGTACCTGCCGAAAAAAGTATGCATATCGCCGAATCGGGATAATTGGATAAGATATTTTGCAAGCAGGCATTTACACGTGATGACTATAGCCTCGTTCCGCAGATTGTGGAAATAACTTGTTGGCGCCTCTGTCATGACAGTATCGCGACTGTAGAGAATGGCGGAGCGGAGTTCAAACGGACTGGAAGCTTTGTCTCGAATAGCCTGCTGTATCGATGGCAGGATACTTCGACGTCGGACTGGCGGAGAGTAGGGCCAAGTCCATTCCACGTTTATCTCCAGGCCGTACCCACCGTGCTGGGTAGTCCCAGACCCAAGCAGTGCAGTAATCACCAAAAATTTATACAAATATCCCGGCTGCAGAGTTTCATTTTGTTGCTAATCAGCCTGACTGTCAAGTGAGATTTATGTCTCGTGGTCTGCAAACTCAGAATAGCCGTGGGCCACACTGCGTACTCGTGGAGCCGGCGAAAGGACTGTGCCATTGGGTACGCGGATCACACTAAGCTCTGAATTCCAAGCACGCCGGTAATCATGAGGTATAGAATGCTATTAAGGGTCCTTGAGTCTGATGATGATTGGCTTCTCTGATCCCAACGGAAAACTCCTCATGCTACCAGCACGCTTCCTCATCATTACATTGTGTGAAGCTCGCTGCCTTCGCAACGCCGCCTCCAGTGGCCCGCACGCTCAGGACACTGTTCAACGAGGCTGCAGTGAAATTCGCAACTGAATAGCTCTTCCCGCTCTTATTCCTCTCCATCTCCTCTGGGGCTCGGGAAACCTCGTAGACAGGCTCACGGGTCAAGTCGCCTCACATTGCATTTCATCTCGACGTAGATGCAGAAGATTCAGACCACAGTACGCCCGTGCAAGGTGCGGAATAACTATTGCGCACACCACCTCTGTAGAGTAGTAGCTTTTATAGATATCAGAGGTATACCATACAGATCTAAACTGGCCTTTGCATGCAGATATATATATATATATATATATACATATATATATAATTCATTTTACCTGATTTGGCGCCTTGAGGCCCATGCAGGTTTTAACGGAAGATATGTACTTTAAGTAAGATGACTCAATTTAACGATTAGAACACTCACACTCAGATTTCATTTGCAGATACCACTCGAGGTTAACCTTTACGGCGTATAACCTCTTCCGTGCATACCCACCACAGGGAAAAGCGTGAAAACCCTGTGGCTATCCGAGTGTGCTTTTATCATTCCATAAGTACGATATGACCGCGAGGAAGAGTGGTGTGTGGGTCTGACTGTATTCGAACCAGCTTTCTCCTGTCTCGAATGGGGTAGGTGTTCAAGCTACCCAGTATCCACTTGGAAGAACGGCCCGGATGGTGTACCACTGCACCATCCAGCCCCGCATGCAAATATACATGTGCAATTAGGGTCTAGTGATATTGGTGTTCAAGACGCACGTGGGGCTCCCTTGTTTGAGGGAGTCTGGGTGCCTCAGGCTACCAGAGCAGTGAGCAATGGCGTCCTTCTCCCCACAGGGACTAATCGAGTTGGACGTAAAGACAAAACCAAACCGCATCCGATTGACGCCGGCAACTCTCTCGAAATGCATATCCTAGATCCCTCACGACTTAGTTAGTTACGTACATTCGCCAACCACGACTTTGATGAAATCCATTCAACCCGTGCTAGCAGCCCGTATGTCCATGCCGCTATGTGTGGCGGTAATATTCACCGCGGATTCCACAACGGCTGAAGCGCCTGATCCCATCCCTCTCATCTGTTGGTTTTCCGTGGGCAAGTGCCTTAACACTGTGTGCCCGGTGTGAGATCCATCTCATCCATTCACCGTCTCTTCTCGTGCTGCCATGTCAAATGTACCTGTTTGCTGGAACCGCTCAGACCAGCCCTCGGGTTGGATCTAATTTGCGATTCAAAATCACCTGCGCTGTTCATTGTGGCCTCTATAGATCTACCTCTTGCCCATCGCAGTTCCTCTCCTCTTCCCCCAAGCCGAATCGCGGCAGGCAAAGGCCGTGGGTCTGAAGTTGGGTGCCGCAAATCCACACGGTTGTTTGGAATGAGCTCCTCTGGGGCCCTTGCATACGAACACGAATGCAGGCCGATGTGCTCGCTTCTCACCTGCTTTGCGACACTGCTTGGCGCCCTGCTCAACTTGGCTTGGATCTCGGAGACCGTGATTCTGTTGGTGATTCTTTTTCTGCCCTTCTCTTGTCGGTCATGATGTTTGGTGCTTTCCAATGTTCTGGGTCTGCTGACGCGCCCCGAACCATTGCTCGGAATTTCTTGAAAGGTCTCCGAGTGCTTTCTCCCTCCCGCAAAACTGCCATCTTTCCGTGTTTATTTAACTTATTTTTGCGGTGTGAGGTTTTGATCTACCATCAATTCTCCAAATAGATTCTACCTCGCTGATGTAGAATCATTCCGTTCTGGCGATGCGATGGAACTTCATTCCCACCACAGATATCATCGCCAAAGCTTGTAGACATCGAAGATGAGTAGTATTGTAAAGTTCGGATGATTTTATTTTCTCCTATATAAGCAGGTCTATATATACATAACATTTAGACCCAGTTTCTATAATATCATTCCAACTAACTATGCGTATTCCCAACTAGAATTGTTGAGATTCGTCATATCTCCACCTAGCCCATACCACTTCTGTTATGATATGGAA